TTTACCTTTACAGTTGTGATAACCACAGTCATGATAACAATTGCTCACTATTCAATCATAAGAATCCTATCCCCATCTCCTTTCAACAGACCCATCTAGACAAGATTTGGATTTCCCAGCCCTGATAACCACTCACCCCATGAGCCAGCAGAAGTCTGATCTATGTATTTGGAATTTGTCTGTCCTGGAAATTGCATGAACTATTCCTTGAAGTAAAATCTCTCTCCTCACCACCCTGCCCATCTCTCTGTTGTTAAGTGTCGCCTAGTTGGTTCTGACTCATAGTGACCCTGTATAGGGTTTCCAAAAAGTGGCTGGTGGGTTTGAACCACAGACCTTACAGTTAGCAGTCCAGTTGCTTGTTCTACAGCACACCAGGACTCCTCTCTCTATACACACACATACACATATATTTTGTGGTTAGGTGATGTTGAGTCAGTTCTGATTCATAGCAACCCTATACACAACAGAACAAAACACTGCCCCGTTGTGCACCTTCCTCACAATCACTAGCCTTGAGCCCATTGTTGCTGCCACGGTGCCTATCCATCCTACTGTGACTGACTTAAGATGAAAACAGTATGCTTATTTCATTCAGCAAAATGTTTTCAGGGTTCATTCATGTATCAGGTTCATTCATGTATCAGGATTTCTCCTTATGGCTGAGCATGAGCCAGCGCATGGAGATACCACAGTTTGCTTCTCCATTCACCTGTTGTTTCAGCTATCTCGGGCTGCTACAACAGAAATTCCACAAGTGGACGGATTTAACGAACAAGCATTTATTCCCTCACAGGGTGTTATTGTTAGGTGCTGTTCCAGTGAGTTTCGACTCCTAGCAACCCTATGTACAACATAACAAAACATTGCCCGGGCCGCACCATCCTCACCACTGCTGCTAAGCTTGAGCACATTGCTGCTAGCAATTTCTATCTCTGGAGGTCTTCCTCTTTTTCACTGACCTTCCACTTTACCAAGCATGATGTCTTTCTCCAGGAACTGGTTCCTCTGATAATATGTCCTAAGTATGACAAATGAAGTCTTGCTATCCTGGCTTCTTAGGAGCATTTTGGTTGTACTTCTTCCAACACAGATTTGTTTGTTCTTCTGGAAGACCATGGTCCTTTTAATATTCTTCTCCAATACCATAACTCAAATGCATCAAATCTTCTATGGTCTTCCTTATTCACTGTCAACTTTCACATGCAGTTGAAAATACTGTGGCTTGACCCAAGCCATGGTATTGCTGTTAAGTGCCATCGGTTGGTTCTGACTCATAGCAACTCTGTATAGGGTTTCCAAGAAGCAGCTGGTGGGTTTGAACTACCAAACTTGTAGTTAGCAGTCCAGTGCTTATCCAATAGCATCACACACACACACACACATATATGTATATCTGTTGTTGTTAAATGCCACTGAATCATTTCAAACTCTATGTGATTTCTGAAGAGTAGCTGGTGGATTTGAACTGCTGACCTTGTGGTTAGTAGTTCAGTGCTTATCCATCACAACTATATATATTTTCCTCCTTTAGAGCCCTGGTGTGGTGCTGCAGGATAAGCACTGGACTACTAACTGCAAGGCCCATGGTTCAAACCCACCAGCTGCTCCCCAGAAACCCTATGTAGAGTTGCTAAGAGTCAGAACTGGTTCAACAGCACTTAACAACAACAGAGAACCCAACTAAGACAAAGGGGATGAAGAAGGATGCTCTAAGTAAAACAACACAAAACACACAAGCAAACCAATAGTAGGAACACAATACAAAATCCACTACTGCATTCATAGGGAAGCATAGTCACTTAGCAGAATGGGGGTGGGGAGGCACTTGGGGATGGGTTCCTGACCTAAACTGACTCTTAATGGTCGAGTCAGCATTCATAAGGAGGTAAAGAACTTCTCAGAAAAATACTGCAGTATGTGTAGAGGCACAAAATATGGCATCTTGGGAAAGTTGTAAGTCAGCTAGAATGTTAACTATCTTGGTTTTCTAGTGTGTTATACCAGAAGCATCATAAGTGGATGGCTTTAAGAACCAGAAATTTATTCTCTCATATTTTAGGAGGCTAGCTAGAAGTCCAAATTCAGCTCCTAAAGAAGACTTTCTCTTTGCTGGTTCTGGGTAAAGGTAGTGGTCTTCTTTCAGCATCTTTAGGCCTTGGGCATCTCCGTACATCCAAACTACCGAAAATCCTGGTCCAATTAAAATTGACATAAAATCTTAACTATCAAAATGACTGAAGTAAAGGACATGAGGACATAATAGCACCTTGGGGACATTAATGTCACACTAATTACTTTGGACAGGACATAACAGGAGTTATTGAAGAAGGGAGTGTGTATGTGTGTGGATTCTTTTAAATGATTGTACCCACTGTTACATGGAAGATGCATTAGACAAGGTGGGGCAAGTTAGAAAGCAAGCTATTGTAATGATCACAGTGGTTGTAGGCTGGGGAAGGTATGAAGTAGTATAGCAACATAACCTTTCAGGTAACACAGACCTTAAGTGTGAATCCCAGTTCTGCCCCTTACTGTGACTTTGGGTAAGTCACCTAATGTCACCAAGATTCCTTTCATCACTTGTGAATTCAGGACAGTAATAAAATCTATCTCACAGAGTTATTGAAGAGATTTCATTGTATAATGTTGTTGTTGTTGTTAAGTGCCGTCGAGTCGGTTCCGACCCATAGCGACCCTGTACAGGGTTTCCGAGGGTGTAAATCTTTACGGGAGTAGAAAGCCTCATCTTTCTCCCGCGGAGTGGCTGGTAGTTTCGAACCGCTGACCCTAAGGTTCACAGCCCGATTCGTAGCCACTACGCTACCAGAGCTCCTTTCATTGTATAATAGTATGATAAATTATTTAATAGTATAAATATATGGACAAAGTACACAGACCAAGATCAAGTAAATGAGCGTTATCATCATTAGCACCTTTAAAAGGATTTGATTGACAAGATGCAGGTGCTGAGAGAAAACCAAGTGCATAATGACCCCAGAGTTTCTAACAGAAAGCAGAGACAGAAGTAAGTAGGGAATGAGGCTTGGAAGATTTTAATCTATTGAGTATGCAGTGCCCACTGTTGGGTCTCTTTCACTCCTACACATCTTGCAGATCCCCCAGCCCACTGACAGAGATTCTCAATTACTCTTGCTGTGCATGCTAAGAATGCAAGGCCCTGGCCACTGTTTACCTGGGCCACTTCTAGATGTTGCATTTGTAGTGAGCTATCTTGAGGGATGTGAGTCTGTCTCCCTCCAGGATAAAGAGCAGGTTTGCTTGCTGCATTCTATTAATGCAGTCGTTTCCCCAAGCTCTTCCTCAGCTATGATCCAAAGTCACTGAAGGCACTAACTACATCCATCTGGATTCATCACTTGCACCTGGGGAACTTAAGAGGCAAGGGGAATGTGCTGACATTTCATGCTGTTTACTGTGCCCTGAGTAATAAAGTCTTTTTTCTATCTCAGACCCAGGAGTCTTCTGTCAGTATCCATGAAATCAGTTACAGGTTAATTTCTTAGCTTATAAATTGGAGGGAGAGACTTGGAATCATCAGTATGTATGTAATGGGTAAAATCAAGAGTCTAAACAGCATTGCCCAGGAAGAGGCCTGGGGCAGCAGCACGTGGGGTAACAGAAACAAGGATGGGGGTAAGAAAAGATAAATGCTCACAGAGGAACTCCAGGTGGAAACCTAGAGAGAGTAAGCAGAGTTTCAGTCAAAAGAGCAAGCAACAGAATCAGATACTGCTTAAAGGTCAAGTAAAATGAAAACAGAGTGGCCACTGAATTTGACAACTAGGTCACTGGCAAGAGGAATTTCACTGAAGTGGTACGGCCAGAGGCCAAACTGTAGTAACCAAGACACAATAAATCTAAGGTATTTCCAAAAAGCTTAGGTGAAAAGGAAAGAGAGAGGTGGGGCGTTAGACACTGGAGGGTGTGAAGCAAATGAAGTTTTCTTTTTAAATAGATGAAAGGGATTTGAGCAGATGATATACTGAGAACAAGCCAAAAACGAAGAGAAAGTGGGTGGCCAGTGGCAATGTGCATGCAGCTGGGCGTACTTTCAGCCTTGCCTCTGCTTTTTTTGTACCAGAATTGCCCCCAAGGATCTCTTTGGAGTGCTTTGTGAGTGACTGAGATCCAGGAAAAACAGCAGTTCTTAGCATCTTTACAGTCCAGACCCTTTGAAAGACTGATGAAGTGACAGATTCTTTCCACAAGAGGGTTAAGCATACAACACACAACCCTACACCCAGTGTCTACAGTCAGCGCCAACCACCACGGCCCTCCCAGCGGCCAGGTCTCAGGGGAATGTGTAAAAGAGGCTAGGAGATGCCGGTTAAAAAGGCAGCTCCCCCGTCCCTCTACTAGCAGAGAGTCTCAGTTACTCAGTTTGGGGCAAAGTATGGGAGTCGGCAGGCATTTGTATCTGGCGTCTGAGATGAATTAGATGGTGACCCTCAGAGGAGGCGAACCTGAGAAAATCATTCGAATGTCCCCATCTCTTCCCGCGCACCCGACACCTCCCTTCACCACTTGGTGCGCTACCCTGGAGCATCTGGGCAACAGGGGTGTGGGGGGACCAACAGCTGCGGTGCCTGGGGCCTACCCGCCTCCTTAGGGAGGCGCAGTGCGGCCGACAGGGGGCGAACGCCAGTGAGTCGCAGGGAGGGGCGCCGGCGGGGCCAGCCGGGAGCTGGCGGCGGGAAGAGAGGGGCGGGAGGGAGCAAGGAGGCGCGGGGGCGGGCCGGGAACGGGCGGGGCGGCGGGCTTGCGGCGAGCGCCAGGGAGCGCGCCTGAGCTCGAGGAGGGAGGAGCGAAGGGAGCGCGCGGCCACCCTCTCCCGCCCTCGCGCCGCCCGCGCGCAACAGTTCCCCCAAAGTTGCCGCCCGGGAGGCGCGTGCGTCCTAGCGGCCGCGTGGCGTGGAGCTGGCGGGGTTTGCTCCCTAGCGGCCGGCAAGCCTCGGCCCGGAGGCGGCGGCAGCGGTATGGGCACTCGGCAGACTAAGGGCAGCCTAGCAGAAAGAACAAGCCCCGGCGCAGCGCCCGGCCCCCGCCGCGAACGACCCGACTTCTGGGCGTCGCTGCTGCTGCGAGCTGGGGACAAGGCAGGGCGTGGGGGCGCCGGCGCAGGGCTGCCCCCCTACCACCGGCGCGTCGGCATGGTTCAGGAGCTGCTGCGGATGGTGCGCCAGGGCCGGCGGGAAGAAGCGGGGACACTGCTGCAGCACCTGCGCCAGGTGAGCCGGGAAGGGAATACCAGGGGCGCGCCAGCCGGAAGCGCCCCGCCCCTTCAGGGGAGGCCGTGGAGCGGCAAAGGGCACCGCCCAGGACCCCTCCCGCTGGGATGGAGCCCATTCTGGCTGCAGGTGCCTTGGCGCTCCCGCTGAATTTGAGGCCTCAAGACAGGGCAGAGGAAGGCTGGCCTGAGCGTGGCCTGGTGAGAGGGACCTGTTGGAATAATATCCCCGATTCTGCCCTCCGCAGGCTGAGGAGATTGAGGCCCTGGGAATGGGAGGACTGCAGGGATGGATGCCTGATCTGTACTAAGGCGGTTCTCTTCCTCTAGCCACTCGAGCTCATTCCCTGCCAAGGGTCCTCAAATCCTCCACTTCCCCACCGCCTCGCAGAGCGCACCTTCCCCTGGGGTGTCCAAGGGTACAGCTTTGGGGCTGGTAGAATGCCAGTCTCAGCCGGATCACTCCTGAGAGGGATCCTGGATTGTGATTGGAGAAGAGGCCCTCTACCTCCCCAGAGTAACTTTCACAGCCCCCAGCCACAAGCCCCTGCTGAGATTAGTGGTGAGAGAGAAGCTGAATTTGGTTTCCTGTGTGACATCTGTGACCCCGGGCCTGCAGGGATTTCAGGAGGCTGCAAGCAAGCACTTTCACTTGGGTCGGTTCTGCCTCACTGGTTAGAAACTGACTTGGAAGATCTGACTTCAACCCCTGGGCTGCTGCCCTCATCCTTCCTTGGCTTCTTTTCCTTTATGGCTTTCTTAAGGAGGAGTTGTGACCAAACCAAGAAACCAAACCCATTGTCAATAAGTCAATTGTGATTCATGACTATCTTATGTGTTACAAGAGGACTGCTCCTGGGAGTTTTCTTGGCTGTAATTGTTATGGAAACAGATCAGATTGCCAGGCCTTTCTTCTGTGGTTCTGCTGGTTGGGTTCAAACCACCAACCTTGAAGTTAGTAACTGAACACAAGTTGTGCCACCCAGGGACTTTCGGAGGGAGGCAAGAGGGTGCAAAAAAGCTGCCTTCCACCCATCACCAAACAAGTTGTCTTGACTTTGGGAGATAGCCAAATTCAAACCAAAAGTCTGTACTGTCGATTTCTACAGGGCAGAGCAGAACTACCCCAAAAGATTTCCAAGGCTGTAAATACTTACGGAAGCAGACGGCGACATCTTTCTCTAGAGGAGCTCCAGTTAGTGGCTGAGCATTTAACTACTACTGTGCCTCCAAGAATCAGTTCTTGCTAGATTTGATAAGTAGAGTTGACTGTGGGTTTGTGGAGAGGGAATCTCAGCCCACCATTCTGAAGTTTTCTCATCATTGATGAAAGAGGTTAGAAGAGCACCTTCCCTGGGGAACATTTAGGAATCTCTCCTGAATTCTGTTGCCCCCAACCCCGCCCAGCTCTACCGCTGGTGCTGCTGTTACCCTGGAGTATGTGTTCCCAAGGTATGTGCCCTGCAAAGAGAGAGAGAGGGAAGCAGGGACAGGGAGAAAGGAGGGACTTCTGCTGTTGTTCCAAACAACATCCAAATGATGCCTAAGACACTGATGGAGCCTCAGGTGCCTTTCACTGAATTGAGTCATCAAAGACAAGTGACACAACTTGGTTGTTAAGTGTCGTTGAGTCAGTTCCAATTCTTAGCTACCCTGTCTAGGGTTTCCAAGGAGCGCCTAGTGAGTTTGAACCACCAAGCTTGCTGTTAGCAATCCAGTGTTTTATCCTACAGTGTCATACCAGCCACGGCCATGTGTAATTTCTGTGTCTTTTCAAAATTGGAAACGGACGTATGGCCTCTATAGTAACTCTGCCTTTCAGACAGAATAATGGATTTTCCAGACCTTCATATCCCATTTGCATACTAGGCATTCCAGACAGTAAGAAGGTTTTACTGTCCACAGCACTGGGGGCTACCCTCAGGGGCTGACTAATGGGAGAACAGGAGAAGCCCTTCTTGGAGGTAGAAGCATTTGGGTGGTATCTGCAGCAAGATGCTGTACTTGGAGTTGGCAGGCACCTTGGGCACCATGATCCCTCTAGGGACGATTGGGATTCCACACCAAGGGAAAGCTGGGCTTCTTTCTGCTCTTCAGAAGAGTCCAGAAGACCCAGTGGTTTCCTTCAAGGTTTGTCTGCCCGTCAGTCTGGTTGGGGTTCCGCTACCTTCCTTAGTGGCAGGACTGGGAGGACTGAATGCAATCATGACTCCCCCCCTGTGAAAACAGAAGAATAACTTGCCCTCTGGTTCCAGGCATGTGCTGTGTTCTGTTGATCTCACTAGCTGATGGCTGAGTGCTGTGGCCCTCTCTCATGGGGCGGGGCCTGCAGACCTTCTCTGTATGGCCTGGGCCTCTCCAAGAAATGGTCATGAGCCTGGAGCAGTATGGGAAGGGAGCACAGGCTGTCCAATTGTACATGAGAAGCAGGAGGTGGTTTTCTAGGACCTAGAGGTGTTCTGGAGGACTGTTAGCTGGCTTTCCTGTGCACTGACGTGGCTCCTTCTCCCGTTTCCTCTTCTGGTTTGGAGGCGGCGTGTTCAAAAAGAGCAAGAGCACTCACTGAGATGTGCAAACACCCCAGGGCCTCACAGGGGGCCAGGTCAAAGGCAGTTCCTTCTCCAGCAACATAGGAGACAAAGCTTGGGACATACACAGTATGTGGAACTTGCTGTCCTGTTGGAATATGGTCCAGGGCCTTCAGGGCAGGTGTTGGTGAACAGAAGAGGTGTAACAGTCTCATTCCCATTTGCCTAGCGTTATCATCTATGCTTGATAATGTGGTTTGGCCAGGACCAGATGAAGGCCTGTAAGGGGGAGGGCCCCAAACACTAATAATACGTGGTATGCCCTCCTCTGCTAACTTTTATGTAAGCTTTATCCATGGTGGTAGTGGTTATGTGCTGTGAAGTCAGTTCCAACTCATAGTGACATTGATTAGGGTTTCCGAGGCTGTAAATCTTTATGGGAGCAGAAAGCCTCCGCTTTCTGCTGCAGAATGACTGGTAGATTCTGGCCGCTGACCTTGCAGTTAACAGCTCAAGTCAGAACCCACTACACTACCAGAGTGTCTTGAATTTTATGTATATTGCTGTTAAGTGCCGTTGAGTTGGTTCCAACTTATAGTAACCCCCATAAAGGGTTTTCAAGGAGCGGCTGGTGGAATTGAACCACCAACCTAGTGATTCAAACCGACAATGCATATATGTGTGTGTGTCTTAGCTATCCATGATGTTGTTTCTTTTAAGTGCAATTGTATTACTGATTAAATAAAATTTTTAGTAGATGCAGGGCACTAAGATTTTTTTTTTTTTTACCGTATACCACATTTCCTGCAAAAAGAATATTCCACATGTTCAACACCAAAGAGAAGATGAGTCCATGAGCTTAGTTCTTACAACAAACAAAAGTAAAATTCTGTTGATCACCAGCTTTGCTTGAATGTTGCCCGTATTTCAAATTTAATGTTTGTTTTGTAATAAATGCTGTAATTATAAATGAACAAATGAAAACATGTCATAATGAAAAATGATCAGAAAACAAGTATTACAACAAATTACCATAGGTTATTTTTAGATAGTTAGACTCAACACCCTACTCTCATCTCTTGTTTATTAGAAAGCAGTAGTATATTCCTAAGAGACCCACCATGATAAGGAGTTTCAGGTATGCCAGAGGGAACCCTAGGATGTCAACCAAGATACTGAGGTGGTAGGGGCCTGGTAGCTTAAACATCCTTACACATCGGCACCCTTGTGGCACTGAAGGAACTTTATTTCTGACCAGCATGGTCACACACAGTGGAGCTGGATCAATTTCATTTAGTGTCCTGCCAGTTCCTTTCCACTGTGGTGTTTGCTTTTTCTTGTGTCCTGTCCACGTGTTATCTATGAGTTTTTGCTTTGAACAACTTTTGCTTCTGTTTTATTGATATCCTAAGCATATGCTTACCTTTCTTATTGAATAATCTGTCCCTGACTTGGGTTGTTAGATATGTGTATGCCCAGAAACACCAGGCTCATGGGGACCTGTGAGACCCTTGTCCAATTGTTTTTAATCTCCTCAAGTCCTGGAGTTATTTGAGGATCTGAAAGAGTCACAAACAGTCTTTCCAGAAAAATTCGCTGATTCATAGACCACCTTCTTGAGACCTGACTTTGAGACCTCTCTTCCAATCTGATCTGCCCCTCTCCCCACTGCTGTGCGATTTTATAAAGGTTTGGGATATGAAAACGGAAGGATTGCAGCAGCTGTTGGCACTTTTGAATGCCCTCTTTCCCCTCTAAGGTGTGTGTGGGGGGGGGGGGGGGGCGGTGTTCTGACTGGAGACTGCACTTGCTCATCACTTGTTAGCTAGGTATGAGGAGGCCTTCCTTAACACAAATGCTCCTGAACTGGCCAGGGGTTCCGGCCACACTCCAGGAAGCTGGCTAAAGGAACATGGAGCAGTACCCTCCCTGTTGGTGGTGGTTATGTGCCATATAGTCGGTTCTGACGCTGGTGTGGCGCTGATTCGATGGCACTGTGGGGTACAGCACTGGACCGCAAGGTCGGTTTGAACTACAAGGTTGGTGGTTCAAACTCATCAGATGATCCTTGGAGACCCTATTCAGGGTTGCTATGAGTCAGAAGCAACTCCACAGCACTTAACAACATAGGGTTTCCAAGGCTGTAAATCTTTATGGGAACAAACAGCCTCATCTTTATTCCACAGAATCGCTGGTAGTGTCAAACTGCTGACTGTGAGATTAGCAGCCTGACTCATAACCGTTTTACTACCAGAGCTCCTTATCCTTCCGGCTAGAGGCTGGGTAATAAAAGAGCTTGGGACTAAGGGTCAGTTTGGGGCAGGTTGGCTTCCAGTCCTGTCTACTTCTGTGATCTTGAACCCTGTACATAACCTCTTTCAGTTGTGTTTGCTCACTTCCCAAAGAGGGGACTGGTATAGTGGCAGGGCAGATGGTCTAAGTCTGTGACATTGCATTGGCTCTGCAAATCTAG